CCCTGCTCCGGGTGCGCCCGCCGGCCCGAGCCTCCCTCCCTGCGCTCACCGGCGAGTGAGCGGCCGGGCGAGCCGGGCGGTGAGGCGTTGCACCGGTTCGTGTCCTCAACAAAGGCCGGCAGCTGAAATGGGAGACTTTAAAACAGCAGCAAAAAGGCTCCGAAATACAGCAATTACCCCAAAAGCCTCAAAGGCTGAGGGAGAAAGGCTTCAAAGAGCAGCAGCATCCCAAGAGTGGGGATGGGGAATGCCACGGCGCTGACCAGGAGCGAGGTCCTGCGGGTGGGACGGTCACCGGCAGTAGTGAAGCAACGGGAAGGCGGCAGTGCTGACCCACGTCCACACCGGCTCTCGCCGGCCAAGGCCACGGCAGTGCGGCACGCTCCTTCATCCCCTCCAATGGAAGGCTTTGGAATTCGTTTCAATTCACTTGGATTAGTCGCCTCAGAGGACAGCCTCCATGTAATTGCATTTTTTTGTAGACAGTTTCAGTTGTCCTAAATGACCAGACCTACATCAGTTATGTTTAAAAATCAAATTGTGTCCAAGTACCGGGTTTGATTCATCCAGTCAGTCTTGGGGGAAAAATCTGTCACCTCCTGAGAAGCCCTGCCTTTTTGGTCAAGCAGTTCTCCAAAGCTTGGCAAAATCTCACTGCAAAACTACCAACACACTGACGCTGAGGATGTATTTCTGGGTGCTGCTATCTCCGAGCTTGCATGATCCATTTTTAGAACCAAAGACGTACCACGTTTCTATATAAGAATGGACAATTCAGTCCCTTTCAGGGGGTGACACAGTAATAGTTTTGGTCCTTTTAACTACAGTGTATTTGCTCCATAAAAACAAATCCATGTGTTATGTTCATGTAAGAATAAAAATGGCAAAACAGTTGCATTGTAACTGGCCTACTTAAAAGCTATGCAGTTATAAACCAGAAAATTTAACAGCATTTTACTGTCAGATCTGCCTACAATGTAATTCCTGTCATCAAAGGGTGGCAGTCCATAAGCATATGCGTTAAGTGAACAAAAAATTAGTAGAAACTAAAGGTATGGACAATGACTCTGGCAAAGGAAAAAATGTTTTTCTCAACGCGGACTTCAAAAAGCCACTATCAAGTTGGCATAATGTATTGAAAAGAGAAACCCCTGAGCACCACAGTTCTTGAATGATACGTAGCAATACATCTTTTACACCTTTTTCTTATATCAGTGTTATTACAATGACTCAACAGGCCAGACTCTATTGTGTTAAAATAAATATGAAACAGGGATATAGTACTAATGGGTATCAATCAATTATTAGGCAGCTGCTGAGTTTAACCAGGGACAGGTGGGGAAGAAATTAGGTGATCCAGTGAAATGCATTAAGGTTTAAATTGACATACAAAACTATACATCATTTCTGAAGGGACAGCAAACTTACATGTAATTATTTTAAAATAGTGTCTGTGGCTACATTTGTCTCTCCAAATAAAGAAACTTGACTACGAACGTATCTCTAAGACAACCCATACTGTTTTTCATTCCCCCTCTAGAGAAAAGTTTTCTACAAAGAGCTAAATTCATCAGTGCGTGCTCTTTAATGAACTCAAGAAAGTCACAGTTCAAGTGGCACCATGCTTACTAGTTACAAAACGCTTATGAAACATCTATTCTTTATAGTCTTAATTACAAGAAATCCTAATATTTTAGTGAAGAATCTGATACAATTACAGTACAGTATATACAGAGTACAGAAATATTTTTATAGGACAAAAATAAATAGAAAAAAATATGTAAACATCCTGAGTGAAATTCTGCTGCCACTAAAGTCACTTACAGAACCGTCAGAGATATAAGCATAGGCAGTACTTCACCCCTCTTTTTAAAGCATATAGCAGTGCATATAACTTCATTCAAAACAGTTTAAAGTGCATACAACATTATAAAAAAAATCATAAGCTTTTGAAAGTTTTACATATGCAGATTTCATTCATATCTATTACGTCTCCTCAATCCTCCCTCTTCTGATTCAATGGCATCTTTGTTTAGCATTTCTTGGTCTTCTACCACATCTGGCTCAAACTGATGTACTTCACATTCATCATATAATTCATGCTCTTCTATTTTGTAATCATTATCAACATCCTCAAGCAAATCTTCATTACTGTCATCTTCTCTGTCATCCATTTCTTCCTCTTGAGAATGTTCAGCAAATGACTGAATGAGATCTTCAAGTTTCTCATTACAAATGTGGCTGACATCTTATAATTCACAAAAAAAATCAAAATGAAAGTTTAAATTACTAGAAAGGCTCCAAATTTCAGCATCAGTTTAGAAGTAGATTTTTTATTTGTTTTCTCTCTTTCATTAAGACTCAACTAGTGCAAAAATTCCCCAAATTTCTAGTGAACCATTCTTAACATTTAAGATTTCTCTTGGACTACTATGCATCTCTTGGAAGTCTCCAGTTTAATATACAATTTCTTGTTTAGTGTATTATGTAAGCATGACCCACGGCCTCAGAGGTCCCCATTTGGGAATCCTCAGACTAAAGTTAGTCCAACACTAACAGAGTGCTCAGGAACTCATATTCAAGAAGCCAGTTTTAACAGAGCAGAATGTGACTGTGCTGTCTGTCCTACTTCAATGTCTGTTAGCACCCATTCTTAAAAAAAAAAAGCAACCCAATGTACCAAAAGAATGTTCCTGTCTGTCCTACTTCAATGTCTGTTAGCACCCATTCTTAAAAAAAACCAACCCAATGTACCAAAAGAATGGTACTCCTCCAGAATAAAATGAATTCCACAGACATTACCTAAGATGCAAGAGCTGAGCATTATAGTAAGAACTGTTTATTATATTATGTTATTATAGTAAGAACTGTTTATTCTTCTAAAATATAAACTACTTAGTTATGCATTCTGCTGGAAATCAAAGTACCTTTCATCTTGTTTTCTGATTTATCCAATCCACTTTCTTTCATAAGGCGTCTAATTGATTTGAGCTGTGTCATTATTTCATCCTTCTGCTCACAAGCTAAAGCATTAACACTAGGAAAAAAGAAAGACAGTTGTTAACAGCTGAAAGATTACCTTGGAAGTGAGTGCTTGATAATAACGCACAAGATTGGTATTTATCCATGGAATGAAATATTGCACAGTTAAGTTAGCAACATGTTTAAGTCAAGCTTTCCTTTCAGCACTGTCTCTTGGTAAGTGGGGAGCCCATCACATACACCTACCGAAGAATATAGTCACTGAATTCTAACACTGGAGCCCCAATGGCCAAAGTTGAGTAATGCCTACAGAAAGACACAATTATCCAAAGTAATTTTATTTTTAGTACAACAATGCCTAACACAGAACTTTACGGTTTAGAGGCTTTTCTCATTTATTTCAGATTTTGTTTACTCTCTCTACTCCCCAGCATTACTAGAAATCTGTTAGACAAATTGGTCAATGAATTTGTGGCTTAATAGTTTCAGCACATATTACGTTCATAAGGATGCTAAAGGAACAATCACTAAATTCTGCATGTTTTAAACTAGGCTTCATGAAGAATGTCAGTCTAAGCAAAATGGACTGCACTGATATTTTTATTTCCACGAATTATAGAACTGTTGATCTTAAAGGTCCCTTCCAACCTCAAGTCTTTAACTTGACATTAACCTAACCTAACCTGACCTTAACCATTAACCTAACCTGACAAAACCACTTACTTTTAAATCCAGGAGATGGGTAAGGCCCTAGATTCTTAAGAAAAGAACATCTCTAAAACTACAAGGAGATTATATTATTTATTCCCTTGCTACACTACAACAGAGAAGTTATAGTTCCTCGAAACACACACAATCACTTAACAGGTTCATTTCAAAACACAAAAATAAGCAGCTATACCTTGATAACCAGTTTTGTCTTCTAATTATATCAAAAGGAGGAAACTCTTTCTGCTACCAGAAGGAGGATTCCCACAAGAGCAAATGCTACTGAGTTTAAGGTTTTTTTTCAGTATTAGTCTCCTCGGTCAATATTAAAGTTTAACTTGTTAAGCCAGAGTAATGTGATCGTAAGCCTGAGCTTTTGCATTTACGTGTGGTGAACAAGAAACAGGAGCTGTCTATGGGAATGATCGCAAATTGCAGAAGAGGTATTACCTGCAAAAGGCTATAGAAACAGTAAGTAATTAAAGAAGGTTCTTAAACACTGTTCCCTACCTACAAAGAACACTTTAAGAACTTCTTGTTAACATTTTTGAGAATTTCAATTTACAGAAAACAATACTGAGATGTTCTAGAAACACTCACCAGTTTGACAGTGGATCCAACTGAGTCAATAAAGAATTTAACATTTTCTCTGTTTGTGCTAGATGCTGCTCCAGTTCTAAAAGCTGATGCTCTAACAGAAATCAAAAGCAAAACAAAAAGAGGGAGGTGGGGGGGAGCAGGAGAGAGAGAACATTGTAAGAAATGTATTTACAATACCAAAAGGATATTAGTTTATGTTTTTGGCTGGGCAGATTCAAAACCAGTTTTTTTTTTCTCTATAAAATTCCAGAATATGAAAAGCGAGTGGTTGGGGTAGAGAACAGAAGCCTTACTATGCGTGACCAGAAGTCCTTCTCACCCAATAACCTGCCTCCAATAGTGCCCAAACAGGACACTTTAGTAGAAACTGAGCAAGAATGTGGCTCTCACCTTCCCAGCCTCAAAAACTATGCAGTTTCAAGACTTCTCAAGGTAACATATTTATACTTAATATACTGTCATGAATTTGCCCGTTCACACCTCACAAATATATTCAACACTTAATGCACTAGGGTTAAGAGGACTAACTCCTCCTAAAAGACTACTAAACTTTGAAGAAGGATGCAACACACAAGGATGGTGAGTAGGCAGTGTAGCAAATCATTGCTGAACCCGATTACAGATCTGATGTACAGAGACACCAAATTAATTAATTAACTAAAAATTTGTCTATACAAGGGGAAAAAAGTACGAAAACAGCTCAACTTTGATGTGCCATAACTTTTTCTCCAAAGGAAAGCCCACTTCTTGGCATGTGCAGAATAGACTGAATCAGACAGTCCAGAGTACTCTGTATCATGAAGAAAAAGATGGTATCATTTATTCTGTCTCTTCTATAAACAGTTAATGTTTTCCACAGGTCTCTAATTTGGCCCAGAAATTCAACAGTCTCTATAATTGTTTATCCATACTGTTCCACTATCAATACAATTCAATTGTAAAGCAGATCATTATATCCTTTTAAATTACCCTATTAATTCTAAAGAGCATTATATCCTGTTTAAACATCCTGTCATACTGAAGAAAACTGAACAGGTCTTAAGTGAGAAAAACATCTGTCAGTAAAAGGCAGAGAGCCATACTGTATTTCTATAGCTGTTTTAAAGAATATTACCATCTGGAGTGTTCATACAAATCTCTTAACAAATGTTTCAAATATATAGAATAACAAAGTAGTTTTTTGTAGGTTCCTAACTGCATGTAGGTAAATTAAAAGATTGTTCTTGTTTAGCTAGACTGCATCAACAAAAATATGTAGCTTGTTCCAGCAGGAAATACGCATTTTTGGTGAACATATACATTCTGAATGGGTATCTTACCTGTTTCCTTTGCCTTGTCTTCTGTACTTTTTTCCTGTTTTGAGAGACTTTCTTCATGTGACTTCATCTTCAATAAATACAATTGTGTTAAAAGACTTCATCCCTATTTGTATACTAATCATAAAAATGCATTTAGAAATTTACTGAAATTAAATAGCAACCACAAAAACGTGCTCCATTGATGAAACTTTTTTCTGCCATGCCTTCTTCCTATCTTAAATTAACCCTTCTGATTTTAAGCAACAACAACATGACTGACAAAAGTTGTCAAAGAAAGCAATTGTTATTTCAACTCTGGTTTCAAAATGAACAGAAAGAATCTTCTAGGTAACTGGATCCAGTCTCCTATCATTAACTAGGAGGTAAAACTTCTTTTTTAAATTAATAAAGATGTTATTATAAAAATATTTACATTTCAGTTCTACAAGCACAAATGTAAAGAGTTGTAACACCCAAAATATTGTTTTTACGAAGTTTAAATCTTATTTACAACCTAATTAAATTTATTTTAAAAACCTAACTGGTCAGCATCTACGTTCATCTTGCTAAGCTATTGTATTTTTCTCACATAGGAGATGATATGAAACTGACTATGGAAATGAAGATGCTGCCTCCAGCCCTGTTCAGGTTTAAGATTTTTTTTTCCCTGAAGGCAAACAACAATGTCCCAGGTGCACTGTAAGCATTGCAAGTGCTGCAATATCTCTTACTATAAATAATACATATCAAGACTGATAAAAAAAAAAAAATCAAACAACCAAAGAACTGATCATGTGTTCTCCTTTCTTAATTTACTAATGGTAGAAAAGGTATCACATTTCGTGGATAAAAGTCTATGTTGCAGCTGCATGACCAAATAAGAAGTCCAAATAAAAGGTCTAGGCTACTCGCTATTCCATCTAATTGTTAATCTAAGACTGTTACTCTGCAGGAGTCATCCATCTCCTTCCCATATGCAATCTCATTCTGAGGAATGAAAAGAAAGTGAAATACTGATGTGGCTTAAGTTACAGCCTCAGGTAACAGCACTGTTTAGGTTCTCAGATTCTTAGGGGGGGGGCGGCAATGGTGTGTGTGTGTTTAAGATTTGCACTTCAAGTGCCTAAAAAAGTTAAGTCAGAATCCTTCAAAAGGAAGAATCAGATGTGCTGTAATTTTAACTTCGGAGCTCACATTCATAGTAAAACTGAGCAAGAAATGGCTTTTGTACAACCATATACGTAGGCTCAGAATTGGCGGAAAAAGAAAACCAAACCAGTTACATTTCCTTCTCATTTCAATGATTTAATGCTTTTCTTATGGCTTACCTTAAGAAATTTGTATGCTGCAAACACTCCCACTCCAAGAGCATACAACGGCATGAGGGTGAATGCTAAGTCTCTACCATTTCCTCTTGTTCTCTCACTCTTTATCTCTTTTTCCATTACATTTCTCATCTGTTGAATACTCTGATAAGTATTACTGTCAGAATTTCCTGGATTCAGGTGAACTTGATGAAGTGTCTGAGGACTACCTTAAAAAATTAAATGGAGAGAAAGAAGGCAAAGTTAGAAAGTAAATTAAGAGTCCAATTAGTTTCACAACTGGAGTTAAATTTTTTGCTTCTTGTGTGATCATCTTTGTTCATCACTCTTCCAAGATGGTGTGGTCAACCCTGCATCCAAATAAAGTTACCAAAAAATATTAAAAATCACTCTTTCATGAATACAATGCAAAGATAAATCTAGGTGTGAAGAGACTCAAACTAAGTTTCTTTAAGATATAAGATTTACGTTTCTTCCTTCACAGTAACATTGGCAAACCCATGGCGAACCACAGAAAAGAAGATGTAACAAGAAACAAATCTTGAAATTAAAGCATACTCAGAGCAATTATTGATGACAAGAACAGTTACAAATTAATATTTTTCCTCTATAACAAAGAAAGGAGTTAAGTAGAAATAGAGTTGTCTAGTCCAAGAAAAAAAAAGTTTCATTGAAATACATATGCTTTGTTACTGCTTTTGTTATTTGACAGTAAATTCAGTGTTAGGTGGATATTCCCACAGGTTTAGAAGTGCTGGACCTCTGCAAATCAAATATTTAGCAGAAGGTTACACAACAGCAAAGAGATGCAACCTTGGAAGTCTGAAGTATTTTTGCATGTAATTTGTCTGCCTGAACAGGGAGTAGATGAAAGAACAGCCAGTGTCACTGCTAGACATAGGAATTAGGTTATTTGGTAGTTAAATCTGTGGTTCATGGGACACGCATATGAGAAACAGTGCTATCAGCTAAAGAATGCAGATGCTTACAGAGACAAACAGCAGGTCATTGAGGAGTGTGAAGTTTTGATGTCTCAACTGACTGCCTAGACTTATAATTTCAAATTTAACATATCAGAACTGAGTATGGGTAAAACAAGATTCGCGTTCTGTAAAAATTCCTCAAAAAAAGACCATTAAGCAAATAACTCTTGTCAATTAATATGAAACAGTGTCATTTCAAGAATTTACAGTACCATAACTCGAGTGTGCAACAGCCAGCCACAATCAGGTAGAGAAAACAATTAACGTTAAGTTACAACTTCCAGTGAAACAACTGTTCGGCTACAGCTTCTTCCAAATACAAGAGAAAAAGGAATCTAATTCTGCTAACCTAAGCTGGTACTTTGCGATAAGAGATCTTGAACGGTGTTTTAGAATTGTCTAAAATAAGTTGGCCTGTATCAACATTTACTATCAGCTCTGCAGTCAAGTCGTGCCAAGCATTACTCCCACAGGCCATTGATCAGTTTGCAACATGTGCATTTGGAGTAGACCTTTTACCTGTATGCTTGCTCATTGGAACTTGAAACAGAACTGGACAGTTACACAAAAAATTCAATGCCCTAGCTGATACAGGCAGAACTCAAGCTACTTTAATCACTCAGTGCAAGTTCAGACAGACATTTTCCTTTCAACACAATCAGGTTTAGACTTACTAAAACGGCACTAACTAATCTGGAAATCACATTTTATCTCACATATAGTTTTCCTTTCTTTCAGAATGTTTCCCATTGATTACTAGTTTGCACTCACTCTTTTTTTCCTTGCTTTCAGTTCCATTTGTTTTTAATGTAAATAAGAAGATTTACATCTATATATCTAATAGCACAGATGAAAAAATTTCCACAGCTCATACAAATAAGAACGTTGTCAAGGGGAACAACACCTTTCTGGCACAAAGGAATCCTAACACAGTCCAGTGTCCTGCACCAAGTTTATCCCACAGAAGAAACAGCAGAGTGAGTTACTGGCCAAACAAGAGAAAAGAAGAACCCAGAGAGGTGAGACCAGCAGATCTGCCTGAAATTTATTTTACACAGTGCTGGGCCAATACATCAGTAGAATCAGACGCATGTGAAATGTTTCCTTTTTAAGGTTTCCTTTTAAAATAATGTGATCTATAGGAAATTACAGCTACCATAAAAATTAAAAGTGATCAAGCAAAACAGGCCAGGCTAGAGCTTATGAAGCACATTAAGTTCAAGATCAGCCGGGAAGAATACGTTAGCAGCTCAAGCCTCACTTTTTCTGACTTTTAAAAGTACTCCTTGGGAAAAGCACAGATACATAATTTGGCAAATTACAGCAACTATCTATGCCTTGGTTTACAACACCTTGGAAGGCATCACCAACAAGTCACAGAGCTACCTCAATAAAGCAGGCTTTCTGTTATTTATCGAAATGAAAGTGGACCTTTGGACCTTGCACTAAATCCTCAGCTGATGTACGCTGACATAGCTCAACATATATTTACAACACTCAAACTTTAACAAGCGGTCAGCTCTCTAGCCCATTTGGTGGTACCTTTTCTAAACAAGCACCTTGGACTCTTCCCAATACATGACCTGACAAATCTCATACGATTCTGTGCTAATGTTTACTAACAGTAACACCTGGCTTCCTTATTGCAATTCACGTTTGAAGTGAATTTTCTCCTCTCTCCGACACCTTTCAGCTACTCATCTGTTAGAGTAACTAACTGTGCCCCTGCGGGCATTATTCGTTAAACTGCCCCGGTAAGATACGCTTCCAGTAACAGGGTGTTTACCCAAAGTTAAAAATAATTTTATCAAGACAACACAGACAAAAACCGAAACAGTAATGAGCTAGAAAAGCAGAACATCAAGGGGGGCTCGTGTGTGTGTAAGGTTAAGGCGAGGAGCTGAGAGCACAGACGCCAGCTGGGCGCTGTGTGACAAGGCCTCCCCCCTCCCAGGCTCTGTG